GTAAGTCATCAAAACTACTCGTTTTTTTTTTTTTAATAGACAAATACTGAGTTGAAGAGGTAAACCAAATTATTGAATTAATTGTCTAATCACTTATAGTCTAGAAAATCAATTACAGCGTCTTTAACTTTTAACCTAATATTTCTTCAAAACGTTTTAGATAGTTGATTATAATAAGATTTAGTTTCAACTGAGAATTCTACAGTATTGCTATAACTGTACAGAAACTTTAGTGATGATTGCTTTGACAGGACTGACATCGTAAAATAGCATAAAAAATAACCTAAACTTACCAATAAACTATTTTTGCGAATATTTTATTGCATTGGACAATTAATAAGATTAACTTTAAGATACTGATCTTGTTCTGAGAAATTTTATACATTTACTCATTTATTTGGATAATTTCAATAAGATTGAGTTCAAGTGGAATAAAGACAAATGCAGCATAACTGGTCACCTATATGTTTTGCATAGCTTTCTCAATTTTATTTCTATTTCAATCTATTTCCTTTTTCTACATCAGTTAAAAAATGTATCAAAAATATACTCCCTAATGCTACAATATAATTTTAAGTATTTTTCTTTTTAAAACTGCAACGTCAGCATGTGTCTTTATTGGTATACATGTCGTTAAAGCCAAAAAAAAAAAATTTGTGCATTTTCCAGGTAAAATATGAGAATCCAGAAATCAGTCAAGACACTACACCGGCTCCAAGTATATGTTCATTTGTTTATAATGATAACTTATTAAAACTGTGCAATTCTTATGGCATAACTACGACTAGACATTTTAAACCTTAAAATATTGTTGATTTGGTGTCTCATCAAGTAGCAACAATACAGGTCAACAATATTGAACGGATAGCTGGCTTTTTTGATTTCAACAACTAATTGCCTTTTTTAAAACTAAGCTTTGAATGAAACTAATACAAAATTGTTAGGCTTCAGCTGTCAACAGAATCTATAAAAACAGTTTACAGCTGTCAGTTACTATAGCTCTACTTCTAGAAGTATCTTCGTTTATAATAATAAGCACTCTAAGCTGTTTGCAGATTTTACAAGACTTCTTGCTCCTTGCGGATTTATTGGTAAAGGTTTTGTGTTGCTCCGTGAAAGAGATAGAACACCATACTGTTATTTCCCTGTTTCGGTTAGTAACAAAATTTTGTCTGTTTATTATCTGTCTAAATTAATCTGACATCTGCTTGTCATGTATATTTACACTACATTTCTCTTGCATCAATTTCTTTTAAAAAATTTACACTAATCAAATACATTCGGCCGATTGTTTCAGAGAGACCAAGAACACCATATGTATCAGAAGGAAAACATTACAAAACTGATGATGGCATTTCCAGGGGTTTTCAGGACAAAAATTTTTAAAGGTTATGATGACCACCTTAAAACATGCCAGCAGTTTGGTGCAGAACTTTTCACATTCGACAGCGAAAATGAGCTAATGGCTCTTACACGCGGTGACAAATCTGATTTCCTCTAACAGTTCAACTGTAATCAACAAAAAAATAATAACTAAATTTAAAGTTTTTTTTTTCATTAGTTTTTTTCTCTATTTTTTTTGGTACAAAAACTTACAGAAAACTTACTACCAGAATGCCATATAAATATGTATATACATTGAGAAATAATTTACTTAAAATGAGTGAAGAAAACTT